CCCCCCTCCCCCCCCCCCAAAACACACACACACACACACACACACACACACACACACACACACACACTCACTCTGCCCCCGGGTACTTGGCTCTTCTCTCTATCGGCCCCCCCTGCCTTAGATTTTTTGGTTCCACTGCCATGTTTCTGTGTTTTCTAAATCATTTCAGCAGTACTTGGGCAAACACGGTGCAGATAAACTGTGTGAAGAATAACCATCTAGATGGAACGAATCTGATGAGCTGATAAACAAATGAAAAGTAGCACTGCCTTCCCTCTCCATTCCTTCTCCAGATCCAGATTTCGGCCCCCCCTGCCTTAGATTTTTTGGTTCCACTGCCATGTTTCTGTGTTTTCTAAATCATTTCAGCAGTACTTGGGCAAACACGGTGCAGATAAACTGTGTGAAGAATAACCATCTAGATGGAACGAATCTGATGAGCTGATAAACAAATGAAAAGTAGCACTGCCTTCCCTCTCCATTCCTTCTCCAGATCCAGATTCCTTCTGCCTGCGTGATTTATCCTTCAAAACAAAACGCATCAAACCCACTGTTATTAAAATATGATGGAATAAACACCATGCACATAAATCTTATGAAACTGGTCCGGTTTGCTGAGCAGCTCAGAAACCTCAGCAAACCCAGCTCCAGTGTTCAGTTTGTAATTAAATCCACCAATTGGCAGGTTTCATCTCTTTCTTCAGGAACTTTCATCAGCAGGGGCTGGATTCGTCCACCAAACCACTGGATACGGCGCACAACTGTCCTGCACCCCAGCAGGAGCTTCAGGCAGGCTTCCTGGCTGCCATGCCCCTACACACCACTCAAAGCAGCTGACTGGAGGGGGAGGAGGACATGTGCGTCTCTGCAAGCCGTGCACCCCTTGAGTGGGAAGGGGCCGTGTTGGGCTGCTGGTCAGGAGCCGCCTAAGGCCAGAGCCTGTATCTGGCATTCTACCCCTTCCCTCCCACCAACTTTCTGCCCCAGGTCACAATCCAGACCCTCTACAAACCCTGATCCTGCACCCATACCCCCTCCTTGAAGCTATACCCCTGTCCTCTGGTTCAGGTCACAATCCAAACTCCTGTACCCCTTCCCCAGGTCACAGTCCCCTACTAGACCCTGCACCATCTCATACACCCCTCCTCCAGGTCAGAATTTTCTTCTGCACCCATACCCTCCTCCCAGACCCTTCACCACTCCAGTGCCCCCTCCTTCACCCAAACTGCCTCTCAGACCTCACACCCCCTCATACATCCCAGTTCCCTTCCCCAAGCTCCCGCTTCATCCAACCTCCTTCCCAAGACCCCGAACCTCCTCCATTAACATGGAAGAGTGCAGCACTTGACCACTTACCAAATTCTTGGAGGGCCCCCCCATCCCTGGTCTACATAGTTCTAGTGATGCCACTGAATGGAACAGGCGGATGGAGACTGCACTGCTGAGGTGTAAGTTTTGCTTCAAATGTGCCTTGGTAGTCAGTGGTCATGTACACAACGCAGAGCCTGTTTTGCCACCACCTTTCCCAGATGTTCAGTGACTCTAAAATGCAGTCACTGAGATTTTGGTAGTGGTTTGCACTCTCTTTGCGCAGGAGTAAATGGCTGCATAAGAGATAAAATACTGGAGAATCTGGCCCATAAAACTGCATGTTCATCAATTCTTTTTGCCAGAGCATAGCTGTGGGTTTTTTTAATAACTGGCTCACGGGTGCAAGTTTAACTTGAAAACCACTTGATTTTTCACTTTATTTCCAATTCTAAGTGATCTGTTGGATTCCGCTATTAAACAAATGGAAAGAACAGTCCAGGTTATTGGCCTTTAGAGTATCTTATTTAATTGGAACAAACATTTCAACCAACATTTTGATTTGACAAATGTTTTGTGTTGCTTTGTTTTTATGATTATAAGGATTTTACTAGGAATAAAGGTTGAGACAAAAGCTTTTTCAGTCAGGGACTTTCTTTACGAATAAGTTTTGAACTGAAATGTCATGCCTGGTCTCAAAAACAGGGGTGGATGTTTTGCTCAGTGTCTACAGAAAACCCACTGAACTGGTTTGAGGTAGACAAGTATAAACTAGACTTTTTTGTACTTTTAAGAAATTGTTTTGACTTATTTTGCACTCAGACAACAAAAGCTGCTGATTTTTGTTCAATAGTGGCTAGTCCTTACTGCATCATTGTTTAAGTTTGAAAAATAATTTTTAAAGAGCTGTGGCATAATAAGGGACAATATGTGTATTGTAAGTGTGCGTGGCGCATAATTTTCCTCAGTCAGGAGAACATCGAATGAGGTGATCAGTAGCAGTACGATGAATAGTATTATTTGTATGCTGGCAGTCTCTTCTGGCCTCTCACCTTGCAACCTGCTGCACACAAGTGGACTTGGCGATTCTGTGAGCTGCATACAAATTCTGTGAGCTCACCTTGCAACCTGCTGCACACAAGTGGACTTGGCGCCACCTGAAATGTGTTGCAGGATTGAGCCCTAAGAATGGGACTGCACTGTGCCCTTCTCCTTGGTGTTCTCATTTTGCCTTTGTATCCTTCGCCCTCCTTATAACTGTTACAAGGCCTTCCCAAAATGCAATGCAAACAAGGCTGGAGAAAGTGTAGTGCTTTTTGGATTGGACATGCTGAGGAGCTTCATAATGGGGAGGATTGAGAGACGCTCGGATTGCACGACAGGCAGGATTCTGTCATTTCTAGTGACTGCTGCCTGCTCACTTTCCAAAGATACATGTCTTCCCTTGCCACCAGCTGCCAGACAGCCACATCAGCCCGTTCCTGTGTTGTTTGTGTCCCAGCAGGCTCTGTGTGCAGCCCTCTAGCTGTCATTGAAAGGTACATGGGCAGGCTCAACTGGGATGCCAGAGGAAGAGAAGTTGCCTGTTTGGAGCAGGAACTGCACGTGCCAGGGGAAATAGCAAGTCTGGGAACCTGACAGAAAAGGGCATATTCATAACCAGCATTTCTCCTTACAGTCACTGTACATCACGCTTGTCTTTAAGGAATAGTCAGAGAGAAATGCTTCAAAATGTGATTTGGAGCTTTTCATTCCTGGGTATTGGTACAAACATTGGTACTACCACCTTGTTAGTGATAGAAAACTACCAACTCTTCGGGGAAACGATTCTGGAGGCCTCAGTCCATTGGCTAGTGGACCAGGTGTGCATGCAACATGGATATGCTTCTTAGCAGCATCAGCAGATAGATGGCACGCTTAAGAGAAGTGAAGACTGCAGTCCTGTTTCCAAGCTAATGCGTTCTGATGTGCAGTGTGGAGAAGCTTTACACTCCAGCTTTATATTCAGTCTATGGACAGAGAATTTGATTCTGCATGACTGTCAGCTAAGCACCCTGCAGACACCCTTCCTCCTTTATAGGGCTTGTGCAATATGAGAACCTTACCTCCCACTTACCATTATTAAGGCGTTACAAGTATTTGAAATCTGGGTGGTAGGCAGGAATTGCCTCTCTGTGTATGAATATACGATATATACTTCTGTGTCAGCTCTTAGCGCAAACAATGTTTGTTCAGTTAGAAACATTATGCGCAAGATTGAGCCATTGTTTCATTGTGTATCTGAAATAGTAGATACCGTAATGATCAATAAATAATCCTTCCAGGGACATCTCTAGCTGGTGATGCATTCTTTCAGGAGCATGCCAGTACACGTGAGTAGAAATATCTCACTGCTAGCTAAAATTCTTTTCTTTCATGATGGGGTTGGCACCTGTCCCAAAATAGCATTTGCTGTGACTCAGAGAGAGCTTTATTCGAACAGGTGAAAATCATTGGCAGAGGCTGCCAGTTGCCACTCGGAGACACACTTGTTCCTCGTGCTTGTCATTCCTGGCCTGATGATGCAGGGGAATGGGGAAATGAATTAAAAACAAATCACAGTATAGAAAAATGTAGATAATTTGGGCTGCATCTACACTGCGGCGCTATTTCGGGATACCTCCAGTATCCCAAAATAAGTATCACGTGTCTTAACAGCGCGCCCATTATTTTGAAATAGAACGGGCTCACTATTCCAACATCTCTGTAAACTTCATCCCAGAAGGGGCAAGGGACATTTTGGAATAGCGGGTCATTTCAAAATTTGGCACTGTGTAGACAACGCCAAATTACGAAAAATGCTATTCTGAAATTGACTCAAAATAAGCTGCGTAGGTCAAATTGCGTAGCTTATTTCGAGCTCCGGGTGCAGTGTAGACACACCTTTTGGGAAAAAGAAGTGAAATTAGGATGTCAGATTTAAACAAGTAAAAGATAAACAGTCATATGGAAAAATGTAGAAGCTAACAGCAGAGATACACAATGTGAGGAACAGGAATATCCCAGTGAGAGGCGATGTTTGTTATTTGTGTTTTGGGAGTGCCTGGGAACTTCAGATAAAGATCAGAGACCTCTGGGCTGGGAGCTTTGCAGAAAGATAATTGAGAAGACAGTCTTTCCCTCAGAGGGCTCGCAGTCTGCATGTCGGACACGGTGCAGCATGCCTATGGATGAAGCAGGATTGGGGTGTATTGTAGGAGTCCTGAGTTGAGTTTTTGAGGGATTTTTGCATGCTGCCAAAGAGTGAACAATAAGAGAGATTCTTTTCACCAAGTTCACCATTGGTCATCTCCCCACAAATCTGAGTTTCCCTTTAAAGACCATAAAGGAAAGCTCACCTCAGTAGCTCTCATCAATAACTCATCTTGCTTGCATGTTGCCTGTAACCATAAAAGTTAGCAATAAAGGTAACTTCACTGAGCATTGGGTGGCATTGTTGTTTTTACGGTATAACAGCCAAGAAAAGTCTTTTTTTTTGCATTGCCTGTTCTTCTCTTTTGCTGTCAGTCATTATAACCTCACTTTTGAGCAAGGTAGAAATCTCATCATTTCTTCTTTGCACTGATAGCAATTAGAGGTCAGGCCCCCATTATGCTAGGTCACGGGTGGGCAATAATTTTTGACAGGGGGGGGCCACGCCAAGATTTTGGAAAGTGGTCGAGGGCCATACTCTTCCATGATATTAATGGCGGAGGTGCAGGGGCTGGGATGGAGGTTCAGTGCTTGGGGTAAGGGATTGGGGTGCAGAAGGGAGAATGGAATCTGGGAGGGAACTGGGTGCAGGTTTTTGGGATGTGATCTAGAGTAGGAGGGGATTGTGATCTCGGGCGGGAGATTGGGGTGCCAGATCTGGGAAGGATGTGGAGTAGCAGGACGGGAGTGGGAGGCAGAGGGTTGGGGAAGGGAGGGACTGGGGTGCCAGAGGCAGGTTCTGGCCAGGAGACTTACCAGCCAGCAGCCAAACTGGCTTGCTTGCCTGCCTGCAGAGCTAACGGCTTGCAAAGCTTAAAATGTTTCTGCCTGTTCGGTCATGTGCTTGAATGAGTGAGCAGGAGGGCTGTGCTTCGTAGCTACCTGTTATTCAAACAGGCAGCTCCCATTGGCCAGTTTCTGTCTAGAAACTGGTCAGTGGGATTATACTGGGGGGAAAGCTGCATCTGAATCTTCCCCCTTCCCCTCCGACCTCATAAAGAGAGAGCACCCCACAGCCGTGTTTCTGAGCAGCCTGCGGAGCAAGCAGAGTAGCCTGCCTGGGGCTCCCCACTACCTCCGCAGGCCAGATTCAGTGGTGTGGCGGGCCAGATGCAGCCCGGGGGCCGTATTTTGCCCAGGCCTGTGATAGGTGTTGTATGGACATTTTCACTGTAATTGTGCAGTTTCTCTTATTACACTGCAGTGAAACACTGTTTAAGAAATAAACCCTCGCCACCAGTTTACATCTGCAAACTCAGAGTGTTTGTGTACCCTCTCCCAGTGCGTCAGCTTCCTCAAATGAGCCAGCTGTTTCCTGGAGCTGTGCTGGCAAAACCAAATGTGATGGCTGGCTGGATGACTCGCTCACTGACCAGACTGCTGTGCAGCTGCTTGCTGCTTTAAATAACTTATTTTTAGCAGCTTCTGTAGCCATAAAGGCACATCTGTGATTATGTTCAAAATTATCTGTTACCGCTCAAGTCAGAGATCTTGTAGTTGTCATGGATGGTTCTCTGAAATCTTTGGCTCACTTCACAGCAGTGGCCAAAAAGACTTAAAGGTGTATTAGGAATTATTAGAAAAAGATAAAAAACAGGAAATTTTAGAATTCCATTATGTAAATCCATGAGATGCCCAGACCTTGAATACTGTGCTCCATTCTGGTCACCCCGTCTCAAAAAAGAGACATAGTGGGACTAGAAAAGGTTCAGAGAAGGGCAACAAAGCTGGTCATGAATATGGAACAGCTTCCATAGAGGGAGAAACTATAAAGATTAGAGTTCTTAAACTTAGAAAAGAGTTGGCTAAGTGTGGACCTGGCAGGGGTTTATCAAGTCATGAATGATGTGAAAAAAATTGAGAGAAGTCTTATTTGTGCTTTCCCACAACACAAAAATCAGGGGTCATCTGATGAAATGAATAGGCAGCTGGTTTAATACAAACAAGAGGAAGTACTTGTACACAATCCACAATTAACCTGTGGAACTCACTGCCAGGAGATGTTGTGAAGGCAAAAAGTGGATTTAAAAACATGAATTCAAAAAAAGAACTAGATAAGTTCATGGAAGATATACCCATCAATGGCTATTAGTCAGAACAGTCAGGGAGGCAATAGGGATGTGAAAGGTTAACCCATGACCAGTTAACCAGTGAGCATCACCCTTAATGGGAGATGTTTACCAGTTCTGATTAACCATTAAGTGGTGGGGCCTGGAGCAGCAGTTGTCCGGAGCAGCACCTGTCCACAGCGGGCCCACGTGCCCCATAGGCTGCTCCTGTCATCTGTGGCAGGGGGGTCACTCCAGCCTGACCTCGGCAGGTGGGAGGGGCTGATCCAGCCCACTGGGGCTGTAGTGCCCACCTGTCCCTGCCTGTGCCCCCTTTAATCAGTTAACTAGTTAACCAATTAAATGGGATTTTACATCCCTAAGAGTCAAACCCATTCTCAGAGCAGCCCCAACCCTCTGATCGCTGGAAGGGGAAGCCAAGTGTGGCTCACTCTACCTGCCCTGGTTCTGAATGCTCTCCTGGTGCTCTGATATTGGCCACTCTCACACAGAGGACAATGGGCTACATGGACCATCAGTCTGATCCCATCTGTCTGTTCTTATGATTGTAAGACTCGAGTACAGGCTGTACCGCTGTTCTGTCCCAAGGCAGCATATTACGTAAAGTTTCCAGCACAATTAGAGGCCTTTTGTAATCTCGAACATCAAGAACCCTCACTCCTCTTTTTACAATCTGGTGTTTCACTTTCAAGAACAACTGAAGTGAAATTTTTCAAAAGCATTTGGGCAGTTACCGTCTCTGTGTAACGTGGCAGTGAGCGCCGTTCCATTTCTCTGTGGCCTCTCGTTTATCCCAGCACACAGCACCCTGGCTGCTCTGATGCATTGATCTGTTGATAGTTAAAGGCAGGGCATGAACAGTTTGTATGTCCTGGGGAATTATTAGCTCTCAAGGATCTGAACCACCTCTCTATGATGTCATCTCTATTCCAGGCTCTTGAAGATGGCCCTCGGGGGTCTGGGTTCTTAGGATGGGCAGGGGAGGGGGAAGTGACTGGTGAGATATACAAGGTGCTTGATTTCTTGTCAGCAACAGGAACATTGTGCAAAAAGTAAATGCCAAATGTTGTTATTTCATATTCCATGACTTCTCTGTGCTATGGAAACTCTGTGCCCTGTAAGTGTTTGACAAAGCTAAACCAAGACTGCATTGCAAGGCAATAATACGTCTGCCACGCTACACAGGATTATCCTTAGAGAATGGATGGTGGCAGCAGGCCAACCACGTTGGAAAAGGGCTAGCTGCTTTATCCCCACACTTTGGAAATGAGCTGCAGGATTCTACTGGTGCTTTGCCAACCACTTCCCAACATGGGTGTTGTTCTCTTGCCACACGCGTGCCAGGAATTTGCTCTGCTCTAGCGTTTGTATTTGATTTAACAAATTCAAACAGGATTGGTTGAGGTGGGCTTACATTCCACATACCTCGCACCATTTTTATTCCACCTCAACATCAACATCAACCTCAACCTGGACCAGTTCACACAAGAACCACTTCCTTGACACTACAGTACAATTACACGACGGCCACATTTCCACCACCTTATACCGGAAACCTACTGTTACACTTACCTTCATGCCTCTAGCTTCCATCCCAGACACATTTCTCAGGCCCTAAGATACAACCGGATTTGCTCCAGTCCCACAGACAGATACAAACACCTACAGGATCTCTATCAGGCATTCTTAAAACTTAAATACCCACCTGAGGAAGTGAAAAAACAGATTGACAGAGCCAGATGAGTTCACAGACATCAGCTTTTTTGAGACAGGCTCTACAGAGAAAACAACAGAACACCACTAGTCATCACAGCCTGCAACTTAAACCCCTCCAATGCATTATCAACCATCTACAATCTATCCTTGAAAATGACCCCTCACTCTCACAGGCCACGGGGGACGGGCCAGTCATAGAATCCCAGGGCTGGAAGAGACCTCAGGAGGTCATCCAATCCAGCCTCCTTCCCAAGGCAGGACCAATCCCAACTAAATCAACCCAGCCAGGCCTTTGTCAAGCTGGGACTTAAAAACCTCTAGGAGGGAGATTCCACCCCCTCCCTAGGTAACCCATCCCAGTGCTTCCCTACCCTCCTAGTGAAATAGTTTTTCCTAATATCCAGTCTAGACCTCCCTCACTGTAACTTGAGACCATTGCTCCTTGTTCTGCCATCCGACACTACTGAGAACAGCCTCTCTCCAGCCTCTTTGGAACCTCCCTTCAGGAAGTTGAAGGTTGCTATCAAATCCCCCCCTCACTCTTCTCTTCTGCAGACTAAACAAACCCAAATCCCTCAGTCTCTCCTCATAGGTCATGCGCTCCAGCCCCCTAATCATTTTGGTTGCCCTCCACTGGACCTTCTCAAATGCATCCACATCCTTTCTGTAGTGGGGGGCCCAGAACTGGACACAATCCTCTAGATGTGGCCTCACCAGAGCCGAATAAAGGGGGATAATCACTTCTCTGGATCTGCTGGCAATGCTCTTCCTAATGCACCCTAATATGCCATTAGCCTCCTTGGCTACAAGGGCACACTGTTGACTCATATCTAGCTTCTCACCCTGTAATCCCCAGGTCCTTTTCTGCAGAACTGCTACTTAGCCAGTTGTTCCCCAGCCTGTAACAACGCTTGGGATTCTTCTGTCCCAGGTGCAGGACTCTACACTTGTCCTTGTTGAACCTCTTTAGAGTTCTTTTGGCCCAATCCTCTAATCTGTCTAGGTCACTCTGGACCCTATCCCTGCCCTCCAGCATATCTACCTCTTCCCCTAGTTTAGTGTAATCTGCAAACTTGTTGAGGGTGAAATGCATCCAAAGTGGGCTGTGCCTACAAAAGCTCATGATACTATCTTCATTTTTGTTAGTCTCTCAGGGTATGTCTACACTACCCTCCTAGTTCGAACTAGGAGGGTAATGTAGGCATACCGCACTTGCAAATGAAGCCCGGGATTTGAATTTCCCGGGCTTCATTTGCATAAGCGGGGCGCCGCCATTTTTAAAACCCCGCTGGTTCGAACCCC